ACATCCACGGTTGAGCCTGTAGAGAGGCTGAGGGTCCTTTGTTCGTGGAATGACACTCGCTTAAAACTCCCCAAGTACATAGCAATTAGAATGGGCAAAATACATTTTCACGCTGAAAGCAATTTCACTCCAAACTTTGTTTTTAATTAGGAAAGAAACTTTTTTTTTTTTTTTTTTTTTTTTGTTATTGTGCTTCTCAGTATGTTATATTTATTATTTTTAGCCAGAAGTTGTAGTGATAAAAGAGGGTTAAGCTTATTAAAGTGCTAAAAATAAAAGCGTACTACGAAATCTGAAGGGGCCCATTTTGGTTACTGCCAAGTGGGAGTGTTTTAAAATTCTCATTCACAAGCTCACTTTCCTGTCTTTCAAGCAGTTTTACTGAAAATGCCGCCTTGTGAAACCAGTCCACTGTTGCTACTATAAAGATTCGGGTCATACGGGTTGATTCCTTGATACATTAGGACAAAAACCCCAACACCAGCCACCGTCACTCCAGCAATTGCACATATAAAAGTCGTGTTGGTCATTAGCATGGCTTGATCTCAGAAGACGGGTAAATAGATAGGGTTGAGAGACACCTCTTAGGGCCATCCATGGTTTCTGTCTTTGTGTGACAAATGTATCATAAAATCATAACAAATTCCATCTAAGAGCTGGTTAGGTCAGTCGCCTTCACGACTCCTATTGAAAAGGATGTGTTTTAGCTGGAAAATTAGAAATATTTTCCTAATTCCATGATGCATTTGTTTGAACCCCCGTCTGCCTTGGTGCGGGCCTGTCCCTCAATTTAATAAAATGGCGAGGTGATCTCCTTAGATTTTTTGTTTGTTTTCAAGCTGTACCATACCTTTGTCATCACAGACTGAGGACAGAAAATTGTTGTGGGATTCAGGCTCTTTGGAAAATCCTGGACCCAGGGCTGGGGTTATCCCACCTGTTTGGGAACAGTCCCCGTTTCTTCATACCAAAGCCAAAGAGAAATGAAAAGACCAACCCCTCCAGGACTTTTTTTCAGTCTACCTAAGCTCCTACCACCCTTCTGGAAATATTTGTCTCTTCATCTGCAAGCAAAGTACCTTGCAAGGAGACTGAAAGTGAGCGGGTTGAAGCTGTGAACCATCACTGGCGTGCAGCAAAGATGCACTGGAATAGCTGTGACACATTCATCATTGACTTATTAACATCACTGGCTTACCAACATCACTGACTTATTACTTATTTCCTTGTGATTTGACCCAAATTCTCTTCCTTCCTTTGCTTTCCTGTGTTAATCAGCAGAAATATCTAGTTAAATTGTGTTACATATTTATGTCTCATTTTTATAGAGTTTTAGTGCTGGTTTTGTGGGGGTTTGTTTGCTTTAGTTTTCCCCCTGTGTCTCAGGATAACAAGTTTATTAAAAAAATGAATTTAAATGGTTGGTTTGCTTATTCTAAGGATGGTATTACTCCATTAGGAGAACAAGTGAGCAGAAACACTGCCACCAGGGTCCAGCATCTTCCTGTGACATCGCATCAACTTGTACAGGACATGGGGCACATGTCCATCCTCCTTGTGAGAGCCCGTGCTGGGAAAAATGTCGATGATGTTTGCAAAACACAGTGCAATAACGTACGATTAGCCCATTGCATGTAGTGCTAAGGGGGTGTTTACAGTGTTTAATTTTGTGTAACGAAGGCAAATCTCCTTAGGCCTCCCAGCAGGCAGCAGAAAACACTAGGTACCTCTAGAGGACCATTTTAGGGAGTTAAATTAAGCTCCTTCTGTGACTTCCCCCTGCCCTAAAAGGAGCACGGATTACTCTTGTTTTGGTAGGATGGATACCTTTCATAAATTTCTCCTCTGTAGCTCTTCTATGCCTAAATTATTAATTTTCCGAGGACAATCAACCTTTAAGAGGCATTGAATAGTGAAGGGTGTCTGCGCTGAGGTCCTAGGAAACATCAGATACATGAGCAAGTTCTGTTACTTTGATTAGGCAGCTGTCAAGGTGTTCAGCACCTTGACTCCCTACCCCTTCCAAATTTCCCAAACGCCCCCATCCTTTCCAAATCCCATCACAAAGTAGCTTAAAACATAGAGCTACTTTCCTACATAATGTTGTATTTTGTAACCCAAAACCATGGCCAAACTTTGTGCTTCTAAAATTAGCAGGCGTCCGAGCAGGATACATTCTGAGTTTTGGTTCAATTTTTTACCTGATTTTTTTTTTCCCCGTCCTAACGTGTCACAGCTCGGCTGTAGGACAGCTTTGGCATGTTGGAGCTTTGAGTGGTCAGGATCTGAACTGATGCAAACTGGTGTTTGGTTCTTATGCACCTTCACAGAACGTATAAAAATATTTCTAAGCAAAACCAGACTGGTTAACTATGAATCATATAGTCATGCTTAACCGTGGAAGTAAATACTTGTCAACAACTAGACAACTAAGAATTTGTCACCTTGGGTGAGTGACAGGTTATTCTAGCTGACGCTTCCTGGCTGTGTTAATGACCTGATAACTCTTTTGTTTTCTCTGCTTTGTGCCCTGTTGTTTCCATATGCAGGGAGGTTCATATACACAGCGCTGGAAACTGGACTGGAACTTGTAGCTGCCAAACACAGCACTGTCTTAACATGAAAACATGGACTGAAAGCACTTGGTTGTCCTACAAATCCAGTCTAGCCCACAGACCTACCACTTCTCAGCTATTTCTCAGTTCTAACCATAAAAACCAAACGTCCCTCGACTGCTCCTCCTATGAAATATGTCGAATGATCAATTACTGACTTGTGGGTCAGCCTCAGCGTTTGGCTGGAAATACATCAGGGCCAGCCCAGGAGTTTTATTCTTTTTAACCAGAAGTGTGATACCAGTTGTCCAATAGCACTTGTGGAGATGTGGTAGTAGGATTTTCCTTGTAAACTCACCTAGGACCTCATTATTATCAAGTGACAGTTTGAAATCTGCCTACCATCCCTTTTTTTTTTTTTTTTTTTTTCTCAGGCACACCTATTTGAGGTACACCCTGGGTAGATCCATTCACATGACTAAAATGTTGCTCACCGCAGTGTGCTGTTGTGTCATTCATGTTTCTGTTCATCGATTTTGGTAATTCCGCACCATTTTTTTTTTCTACTGGCATTGAAAAGAAAAACCTGATACTTTACCAGAAATGCCTTCAGCTCAATGCAATACTGGACATAAACTCTTCAAGGCTGTCACACTGATGTGTGTGTGGATGCAGCTCTTCTAAGGCTCCGTGAAAGAAAATTTGATATTGCTTCATACATACAGAAAGGTTTTGTTCTTGGAGGCCCTTTGATCTCTTCCTGATGAATCCTGAATGCAAGGAAAGCATTTGAGCAGATGTCAGTGATATCAACCAAGGCCTATGGTGTAAAACTCTTAATAAAAACTGTTTTAGAAGAAGCGTTGGATATAGCCAATAAAATTATGCTATATCATTCTATAAAGTTGTTGGCCATGTAGTTTTTATTTGTTTTGTTGTTGGTTTTTTTTTCTTGTGTACTGCAGCATGCATAATCTAAAATAAAAGAAATGGAAAACCATCTCTCCCAGATTTAATACAAGTCTTTTAACAGGTTTCCAAGTTTTAAGCTGAAGTTTGTTTATTCCATGGTTCTGTTGGTTTGCAATTTCTTTGCTGTTTTGTTTTAGCTTGAGTTATCAGAAATTCATAATTACATTAACAGACTTGAAACACTGTTTCTCTTAAAAATGGAAAAAAAAAAAACCCACAAAAAACAAAAACCTGTACAAAACCACTTTCCACAGTTTATCTGCAAACCCTCATTTCTGTACCCATCGCAAGAGTGGCCAGACTAATTAATGTTCTTTCATTCAAAAACAAAAGAATAAATTACTGAAATCTTCTGTGGCATGTCTTAATCCAGCTCCTAATACAATCAGTTGAAGAATTTCTATTCATTTTATTAAGGATTAGAGAAATCCCTGGAACTTTATTCTCGAATTTCTACCTGTGACTGAATTCCTCCTGACTCTTTTCGTATACTCCGTGGTGTAATATCTGCTCTAAACCACACAGGTGCAGACCATGTGCACATATTTTTCCATTGTGACCAGTACGTCTTTTAGAGGACAAGGTGGTCGAGGTTTCTAAGATTTCTGCGGGAAGCACCAACCCTTATTTGCAGGTTTTATACCATAGGTGTCTTGTTTTCTAAGCACAGCTCTGGAGTAAAAGTTAATACTTTTCTTTGATGGAAGTAGAGAGCTGCCAGCTGCAATGTGTAGCTGGTAATCTTTCTTTTCTAGTCTCATTTTGATTCTTCACGGTTTCTCCAGCTTCCCCCAATGTCAGACCTAGCAAGCTAGGTTGAGATAATTCTCCCTTAATTTTAGGTACCGGCAATATGTCTCAATCTGAACCTTCTGAACAAACCTCCATTGCAGCTTGGAAATGTGATCCAGGAGTTTAGGTTGTGATTTTTCTAACCTGTTAAGCAGCAGGCAGCTATTGCAGAGGGAGATGAATTGCACACTATGGACTTACTCTCTGTTGACCATGATAGTGTCCGACGTGATTTGCTCAAATACAGATGCCTGGGGATGGTCAATAACCCACATGTACTCAGATTAATCTTATCTCAGCTTTAATAAAGAGAGCATTTCAGATACATTGTCATGTCCTTTCTGTTATTTAACTCTAGTAAATTTAAATCTCGTAAATTTACCAGCTTTCCTTTGAATTCCCTACCACTCTTCTCATTGGTTTCAGTGGGAATGGGATGAGCTTCCAACCTCCATCCTGTCTGGGGACACATGGAGATCTGTCAGTCATACTGCTTCTGATTGATGGGTTAGGTATTCATCAAAATGGGTGACGTTCCTATTTCCCTGTAGTAATAGCGCTTGCAAACAAGAAGCTGCTCATCTCTCTATGTCCATGAGTAAACTGCTGAATTGCTGTTGGTATAAAGTCTTTGTTTTAGGTTTGTACCCTGTAATTATCTTCTATTATCTTAATTTGCAGATAGTATTGAAGCCAACATTGAGACTGCATCTTCTAACGTAGAATCGGCCAATGAGCAGTTGGCAAAAGCCAGTCAGCACCAAGTAAGTGGGTCTAAAATTCCCTACGGGTACATTCAATAATAGTAGTTAAAATAAAGAGAACTCTTGGCAGCTGTGAACCACATAGCACATGGGCTGTGTTGCATTTGTGCTACCTGGAAAGATGATAAGGCATATTCTAAGTAAGAGGTAATTTTTTTTTTTTCTTATATATATCATTAAATTACTGTAGCACTGACAATTTGCATTAGGTTAGTCATTAAGAGATCTGCATATTAAAGTGACATTTCCCAGTAGGAAGCTCAACAATTAGCTACTGTTTTTCTTGGAAAGACGTCAGAAAAAGTGCATCGTTTAAGTGTATATGTGCTTCTTACTGGAGTTGTTTTCCTATAATCGGGAAACGGTGCTTTTCAAAAACAACTGAGTTGTCAAAAGACACGATGTGGTTGGTGAAGAATGGCGATGGGAATGGTGTTCAGCACTTTCTAATGGCAATTAGAGGATGGGTTTTGTAGACTTTTTCTTCATTGGAGTAAGAATAACACACACAAAAACATTAATCTTTTGGAAAATAGCTTGATCAGAAAGAACTCTTCAGTGGTTATAGTTAGTACTTTCTAGGGATGAAGGGAGGGAAGTGAACAAAGAAAAAAAAAATTATCGTTCTCATTGGATTGACAGAACAAATGCTGTTTGTTTATTTTTTCCTCAATCGTAAATCAGTTTGTTGAAGTCCAAAATGAGTTTCATGTACCTGAAATCTTGTTGCGACAAAATATAGCTGAGGTCCATGCGAGTACGTAGTGTCTCCTTGTTGGTCCTTGGACACAATGAATTCTGAATGTCTGGGGCAAACCTCTAGACCAAAGGATTATGAGCCATAGGCATTTTACTCCCCTGAAAAGGAGTAATGTGATTTAAAAACTATCTACAGCTCATTTTCTGGTGAAACGCACTTTGGAATTTGTGGGTAATAAGAACAACTTTTGTAAAACTTTGATATTGTAGAAAATAAGTGTGGTCTTCAGCTACGTTTTGGTTTTAAAGACATATATATTCAAGATAATGTGTGTCACCCTGCATGTAATCCTGGATTTACTTTGAAAACAGCCTGTTGCTGTTTTTACTGCATGAAGTCTAAAACGAGACTAGAATAAATTTATTACTTGACGGTAAAGCCGGTCGCAAAGCTGCAAATAAGTTAATGACAATTTTGGCTCAGAAAGGCAAAGAGTAGTCAGGCAGAAAATGAACACAGCACAGTGTAAAGGATCTGCTTCCTTGAGCCAGCTGGAGCTGCTGAAATAACCTGCCCAGTTAGGGGGGGCTTTTATTCTTTGGATATGTTAATCAAGATGAAGGTATAGCCAGTTTTATCAACTCATAGGGCATAAACGTGTACTGACAGGTATTCATGGGAAAACACCTGAGAGTCTCCCTTGCCCTTGAAACAAACCTGCATAGACTGATATCACTTAGAAAAATTCTGCTGCCAAAGAAAATGTGCAATCCAGATCTCCTGTAGAGGACAGGTAGCCGTCCTGCACACTACTGGATGAGGATCGCTTAGACAAATGTGGCAAGCCCAGCTTGCTCTCTGTCACCTCTTTCATGAGGTCCCCCGAGATGTGGACAGAAGATGAGGTGAAGGATTCGTGACTTTGGTTGCTGATCTGCTCTCTGGGGTTTGTCAAATGGCGTATGACGTCTCCTCTGTTACCTGACGTGATATCTGCTCGTCTTACATCCTTTAGGTTGTTGTCTCCGTAACATGACAAGAAGGGTCCTAGTCCCACAGCCCTCAAGGGCTTTTCTAGGAAGCAATGTTGGTGCCACTTGCGTGCACATGGATAACACGATGCGAGTATAGGTCACCCTCCTGGGTTGCACGTGTGATTTTGGCTGCTTTAAGAAATATCCAGAATGGATCTGGGACAACAGTCAGCCAGATGGCTTTGGGATGTGCTGCTTTCAAGGGAGCTGCCATAGTTTTACACACTAAATTCCCTCCATACGCTTCTGTGCTTCTCAGAGGTCAAAAGCACGGGTTGGTTTTTTTAAATCTTACTGAGTAGTTTTCCTTCTTTTGTTAAACTGCCAATTCATTAATGTATTTGGCTGTTACCTACAACCTCTAGTAGAGTGTGATTGTCCTGTAAATGCAGACTGGCTTACACACATTTGTTATTCATTCCTATTTGTATGTATATATGTATATAAATGTGTGTGTATATAGTATTTTTAAATGGACAAATGTATACATGAATTGAGAAATCAGAAATGTCAGCCTTGCTGAAACGTTCACGCTCAAGACCTACTGTAGACCTTAATGAATGGATTTCTGTCAGGAATTAAGTATCTGGTTATTTAACATAATGTTTGCATATAATGCAATGCCGTCACTTCAACAGTACAGCTTGGAGCACCAGTCCCAACCTGTACATTAACATAACAAAGCGCCAGTGAACAGCTTTTCTTTAACTAGCACAAAATAAGGCATTTAGGTTCCCTGAAATGATACAAATTTTTCAAACAAATGTAAATATCTTTCCGCTGAGCTCCTTTGTCTGCATTTTACATTTTGTAAGGGACTCTTTCATCCCGAGATGTGGATGCTAACAGTGTTTTATTGCTTTGCGTGAATTCTCATGCCCCCCTAAACTCTTCATCCACCCACAAAAAAACACCCAACAAACCAAACAACAAAAAAACCCACCCAAAAACAGCCTCCCCCCCAAAAAAAAACCAAAACAACAACAACAAAAAAACAACCCAAAACCAAAACAACAAACCCATAAAACAATATTAAAGAGCATATGAGGGAAATGCATGCTAAGTAAGGTAGCAGTGGCCAACTTTCAAGCTGTGGGGTGGCTCCGTGCAGCCCCCAGCCCTCAGCCAGCCCCTGCTCTCAGCCCGGGGAAGGGAGCAGTAGGTGTCTGTGCAAATGATTCTTCTTCCCTCCTCTCTGTTCCCTGCCATCTCCTACCCCTTTTCAATGGATGTGTACTTGCAGGCTGCACCATGGAGTAGGTGTAACTCTTTGCTGGTCACCATAGAGAGGTGAGATACCAAATAGCATCCCTTGTGTGTGTCCATCTGACATAAGGCAGCTTGTCTCAGAAAAAAAAAAAAATGATTGGGCAGAATCAGACAGCTCAGAAAAGTAGATATTCTCAATTTATCACTACGCTCCTGATCTCAGATGCCACAGGAAGTCCCTAAGTCCGTGATGGATACCATAATTATCACCATATTATTGTTTGTGGTCCCTCTTCTCAGCTGTAGACCTCTGTAACCCCCTGTTAGTAACACTTTCTTCCTTCACCAGGTATTTTCTCTAAGGAGTCTTGGTTGTCAGATATTACAGAGACTCTATGGACTATATAGAAAAAACAGCAATGCCCATAACACTTATCCCTGATGTAGAAAAGGTTTATCTCCTTTTATTTTCGATAAATTTTCTCCCGCCGTTGTAAATCATTGTATATATTCTGATTTCAGCACTGCTTAGTTTATGTTGGCTGATAGGTACTTGCTATATCTGTGCTGCAATAGAGGATGTGGTAGATCAACTTGTAATTAATCATTAGTAAAAAAAAAAGGTATTACATCCCACAGAAATGAAAAGTTTAGTGGAAGCTGTCGAAGTTTTGGAAGAATTTTTTTTTTTTTTTTTAAAAGCACAGATTTTTTTCACCTCATTTTAAGTTATTATCATTACAAAAATAACTGTTTGTGCTTAAACTTATTTTTACTACAAGTAACAGTTAAGCTGGGTCACTGCATTATCTGCAGAAAGATGCAGGGTCAAAATGAGTACGAAAACGTTAATGTTGGAGACTGACACTGGAAGCAGAGGAACGGAGGCCTGGTGCTATACGAAACCCCTCGGTCACAGAGGCTTGACAAACTTACTTTGTTGTCCTACTCTTCAGTACACAAATTGAATTTTAAAAATGACCAAGGCAAACAAAGCAGACAGGGAGGATTCAGAAGAAGTCATCTCCCACAGCAGACTTGCTTCAGCGCCTTTCCTTTTTTGTGAGGGTCTCATATCTCTTAGATCTAAGGCAGAAATGATGATCCTTGCCATTTAATACCAATGGCCTAGATTTGTATTCGGAAATGTCACTGTCCAGGCCCATAGAGAAAATTATTCATCCCACCTATCTTAAAACACAAATTTTCACATGAGTCATGTTTAATATGTTTAGAAAATAGGGTTTTATTAGACCAAACATGGGTGACGGCAGCATGTATATCTGGGTTCGGTGTCGACTTCCTTTACACTGACCAGGAGGAGGAATTGCTTCCACCACACATCTTGTCATCTTACAAGAGATGTCTAACGTGGGTCTGATGACTGCCTCTCTGTAGATGCCTGTCTCCTCCTTTGTCTATAAATTCGAGAGGATAGCAATCACATTGCAGACATTGCAGTGGAAAATTAATCCCACGCCTATCACCTATTCCTTTGTCAAAAAAAAAAAAAAAGGAGGATCTAGGGATCTAGGCACCAGAATGCCTCAGTACCTGCCTTTTACATTAGCTCAGGTGGGATGAACATCACACAGAGGGGCTGGCTGCGACAAGATGAGCTGCTTGGCTTTGCTCGGTTTGTTCGTAGCTTCCTGCAGATGGATTGAGAGGAAGAAAAAGAAAGAAATGCGGACTCCACGGATACATATTAAACCAGTTACTCTTTTTGACACGAAGTTTGGCCTAAGTTCAGCTTGGCCGCACTGACTGAAGGACTCTGTGTGCTGACTGTTGAAGCTAATTTGTTTTGGAAGAGCTGCTTGTGTTGCTCTGATTAATGCCGGTTGCTTTACTTCCCTATATCCTCTGTGGAAGTCAAGCTAATTTGGATTCACTGGCGTCGCGAAGGCAAGCAACAGTTCAGTGACCCACTTGTGTAGTCTAAGAACAATGAGGTTTTTTCCTGTAAAGAAGCAATTCCTGGGTCTGGCTTTCAGGGATACACAGAGGGGCACTTTGAAGGCTGGAGCTTTAAGAAAAAAAAAAAAAAATCAACA